CCCCCCCCCCCCTGGGCCAGTCTGTGCACATTTTGAACATATGTTATCAGTTCGCTCAATAGCTAGATCAATAGAATAAACATTCAATATAAATAGAGTAGTCAAGGTGTTAAAATGGGTTACGTACTGACATGGTTACGTACCTCCATGGTACTGACAAATCAAATTCTGTCATAGACATGTCTCTAACCACAGTCCCTCTATCATATATATAGAGGGACTGTGCTCTAACGCATTCTTTTTGATTCATTTAGTGGTCTTTTGGACTCGGCGGCCCTCAAAACCCAATGTTACGTGTAATAACGTAACTAAATCATTGAGTTTTCATGTTTTTCTCGTAATAGTGTGTTGGCTGTTCCCTCTCTGGTATTCACTAGGAATATTTGCTGCTGTACAGTCCCTCTATCCCCGGTCTGGATACGCTTTGCAGTCTATTGTCTCAGGGCTGGTTACGGGTAAATAAGCCATTCACACCTTTGACAATGAGCCACGAAACTGAGCGTACACTAACTTTAGCACTGTGATCACAAACTTTAAACTGAACAGAACATATTACCGTGATTTGTCAAAATACGAACATCTGAGAAAAAAAACTAACCACATCACCAAAAGGTTAATGTACAAATCTATTCACATTAAAAAAAATATTATGGTTGAACGTAGTTTTCATACTATAAAGTGGGCCAACCCGCTGACTCGCGTCGAGCAAGTTTGTAAATCAAAAACAAAATGGCGCTCGTGAATAAATTCTCATTGTCGCCAAAAAAAAGTCTGCCTACTCAATTTCTGGCAGTGCTAAAGAATTGATACTGCAGGATCTTATTCTTAGAGACATGATGTCACCAGTATTGTAAACTACATCCCAAATATATGCTTGGAAACAAACATAATGACACGAAAATTCGAATGGCAATCATTAATCGGCGAAACCATCTTTATTTTGATCGAAAAAAGTGATGCCTAAATACGATACGTATACTGTATATAATATAATAAAACAAGCACAATGAACCGATCCACCAACTACAACTGGGTTTAAGATATCCAATAAACTAAAAAACATTGATCTTTCTAAAACACATGACGAATAGAAGGGCCCAACCGGTCAAGGTTGTTAGACGTGTTCCAAGTTGCGAGTCCCTCAAATTTAAGTGCGATATTCACGAATAATAATGTCAATATGCCACTATAGAAAAACTTGCCGGCTAAAGACTTGTGTTGAGCTTCTAAATCTATATAAATTATCAAAACATCTGTTTTTTTCGGTTGTAAAAACTAGAACATGAAGGGAACAATGAATCGTTCGTTTCAATAGAATGCTCTAATATCAGGAGACTATGCTTCGCGGAAAGTCATACCCAGCGCAGTCCGAGCACAGCGGGTAATTCACACCTTAGACAATAGTCGTTTTCAGACCGGGGATAGAGAGACTGTGACTTAACAAAGGAGCTCAGCACCTACAAAAAGACAAATGTATTGGCTTAAAGCATAGACAGTATACTGTCCATGCTTAAGTAGGATTTAGATTGTGATATAATCCAAATCCAATTTCTAAGAGTTGTAAGCAGAAAATTGCATATTTGCTAAACGTATGTAAGCGATATAACATGTTTGAAAATGGCAAGATGAGAAAAATACAAATGTGTACATCTGTATCTATATTTGCTGACGGGATGAAGTTACGGGGCCGTGTTTTAGAGATTTTCTGTTACATGCAGCTACAACTTTCCTAGCGCCCTCTAGCGACGAACGCGTCTGGTCACGGCAGAGGTGGTGGCACGACATTTTGCATGGAGCGAGATCTGCTCAATTTTGAAATCTAGACCCTCTGAAACGCTATTTCCTGCATTTTGAGGGGCTAATTTTGCTGACATGCAAGGGTTTTAGCTTGATTTTGAGGGAGGCTACCGCCAGCCATCCCCACACCGGTGCCGCCGCCACTGCACAGTGAAGGCCGTTGACAGTGTCGATATCATTTGACCAGTAGGTTTACAATAATAAAACAATGTTTTCATGAATTACTTAATTTTAACGAACGACTACACAACCAAATATAACTGTCGTTTGGAACGACAATGCTTTTGTTCATCTGCGTCATTTTGACGTCAGAGAAGCGCGGAGTCGCTGAGGGCGCAACTTACAGTGAAGGTGTATAATGTGAAATACTACTCCGAAAACAAAACAATACATCATTGTACTTTCTGTTTTCTTTAGAATGATAAAAAGTCTGTCATGGTATGGATTCACGGTGGAGGTCTCACTTATGGATCTGGAACAATGTTGCATGATGGGACTGTATTATCCGCGTTAAATGACGTCATTATTGTCACCATCAATTACCGACTTGGGGTGTTTGGATTTTTCAGCACAGGTAAAATGCACGTCACATTTTGTTCCGTTACGCCAGCAATTCGTTGAGTCGTTCGCAGTTGGTTGAAGGTACACATAAGGGTGAACAAAATGGCGCATTTGATGGCTTACTTAGACAACGATTTCACTTTATGACAATCTCCGCTAGCAAGACTGCGGGTCTCACACATGTGTGAATTTCTTAGCAATTCATGTCGGTAACCCACAGGTTTGTTTAAAGCGGGGGAGTCGTCACCTGCGCATGCGTAAGATGACCATAGCGTGTCATTGTTTACAAAAAAACGTCTACCCATGAGCCTTCTCGTTTTAGAGTGTGTTGTTATCGTCGCTTGGGGCTCAATTCCCGCGCGTGCGCAGGTGACTACCCTCCCGCTTTAAGAGCATAAATATGTCTCTGACGCCGTATGCACCCTACGTTGAATTATCTATGTAAACGTTTGTTTTCTCAGGTGATGACGTAGCTTCCGGTAACTATGGTTTTCTTGACCAAGTAGAAGCACTTCGCTGGGTCCAGCAGAATATAGCAGGTATCACCACGTTTAGGTTTCACAGCTGTAATTGAAATTGTGTCCTTACGAGTTTGAAAAAGCACTGGCTTCAAGGTGCTACAATCAAAGTGCTACAGTCGTCACGCACCGCGAATTCGAAATCCATGCAATTGTAATTTCCATGCTAGTAATAACGTATATTTTTATTTGTTGGTTAGAATGAAAAGAAGGATAACCAAAGTTGACATTTACGCACTAACGATGAGTTGTAACATGATACTTTTTTTGGTCCGTGCTCTGTATCCCTTTCCTCCTTCCAAGTTGTAATTCATGATATTTGTGATTGAAAACATAAATATGGAGATAAATTATAAGAATAAATTATAATATATTAAACGTAATTTTACCAATCCTTTAAAAGGCGGTAGTCGTCGTGCCGCGCATGCGCGAGATATATGGGTCTCATATAAACAGACCAACGAGTGCAATCTGAGACGTTAACAAAGCTTTAATTAGGTATTTTTTAGGTGATTGGAAGGTGTCGAAGGAGTCACCGGCGGTAATTAGTGCAAGTCGCGCCCAGGTAAAACCTCAAACTTGTGATTCCCATCAAAAAAGGGCATTGGAATGTAGAAAAATCAATGTTTACCAACACAAATATCGCACATGCGCAGCGCGACGACCATCGCCCTTTAATAAATTTGTTTAACGATTTGCTACAGTTGCTTGTTTTGTCCGATGCGTATATATTTATCGCAAGGCATTTATAAACATGAGTTTAAAGCGCCAGATTCCCGCGACGCGCCGTGTTTGAAATGAGTCCCATGTCACGTATACGACGTCTGTAAATTACATTGTTTGTTTACGCTGAGTTCGAACGCGCGCTGCGTGACGACTGCGTCGCTTGTAATCATGTGGCGTGTGTCTATTTATAGCCTTTGGTGGGGATCCCGATAACGTTACCATATTTGGTCAGAGTGCTGGTTCTATTAGTTGTCATGCGCACATGCTATCTGAGATGAGTAAAGGTTTGTTCAACAGAGCCATTCTACAGGTACGTACACATCATTTGATGACGTCACCACGAAGACGCAAATTGTGAACTCCAACAGTATGGAGTCACAATTCGGCACAATTGAGACATGTTGGTAACTTACGATGGGTCCTTGTATCTTGACCTTTTCACCACCAGACTTTCTCAGCCAAATTTGTCTGCACTTATTTCTTATCATCTTCAATTTTTTTGGGAATGTACTCCATTTTTTGAGCCAACAGACAAAATTTGAGGAAATTTTTCATGTTTTACTCAAAAAATGTGGCTATTTTTGCCCAATCTTCTGAAGAAAATAGCAGACTATAAAAGGGACTATTTTGTGAATTTATGATGAAAAGAGAGAACTGGCGGTGAAAAGGATAACAGTTACCATTGCGTGGACAACCTGCAGTATAAACTGAGATTCGCTTTCTGTGTGATATTTTACGTTTCTCTCTGCGTCATACATGAATATTGCAAAACATTGCAGAAATGAAGCTTCACGTTTATCATTTGACAGCCAGGTAGTAGTAATGTGATAGATATTTACAGGGTTATGCTCGTGCTTACATCACTCGAGTTGAGAATGATGCTGATCCAAAATGGCGTGATTGATGACGTGCACGAACGGGAATGCCACGTGGCACTGAAACCTGCAGGTGATGTAATGTTACATGTGAACATACGTGCAACAAATGACTACGCCCATTTTTTTTAAACGTTGACATTTATAGAGCGGAACTGCCATTATTAAAGGTTTCTTCAACACTGATCCAGTTAAAAGTAAGCGAGTAGCTGCTGGTCTTGGTCACGTGGTTGGATGTGAAAAAGACAACACGGTGGATTTACTCAAGTGCCTTCGTTCTCTACCAGCCGAGGAGTTTTTAGACGCAGACGATCCATCAAAGGTAACTAAATGTGACGTCACAAACATAGAAATGCAAGAAGGGATACTAGAAAAACAAATTTATAAAATCTTACTTTTATCAGTTTAAAAAAGGTTTTGAAATAACTATTGTTCTTTATTTCATTTTTTACGGATTTTCACGATTGAGTAACAGTTCCAGCAAAAATTGAATGCTTGCTTCCAAATAAACAATGCTTTTTTTGTTTTCCAGTGTTAGTGTTTGCGAATAAATTATCTACAAAACAAAACAAGACGTTTCAAATACCAGCTAAGCCCTTATTTTCCCAAATAACGAAAATATACAGTCGTTTTATTCTTCTGTAGTACACTGTATTTCCGAAGGCCGTGGACGTTATTTATGTCAACTATTTATAAACGTATTATTAATTTCGAATGATGAAATTGACTAATCACAAGCCAACCGATGAAGCCAAGAACCCTTTATTGACCTCAAAATCGCTGCGGAACCACGACTAAAGAATCACTTAAATAAGCCTTACCATGGAAATGTCACTGGTAGAAATAAAAAAAATCTATCATTGAACATTGAAATGAGAATCTTAGTAACAACAATTAAAAACAGTTAAAGTCAGTGCGATAGGCGGAGTACAGCAGTGATATTCAAATGTTCAACAAAAACGAAAATGAATTTTAAAAATTAAAAAAAAAAAAGATTTTAAAAAACAAAAATGTATTTCAAAAACGAAAATGGATTTGGTTTTTAAAATAAAAACAGATCTCAGAAACGAAAGTGTGTTTTAAAATTCGATTTCAGAACCGAAAATGGTTATTAAAAAGGGATTATAAAATAAAAATGATTTGTAAAAATGTAAATGAATTGTAAAAATGGTTTTATAAAATGCCATGTTGTGAGCCACCTCGGTTGTCGTAGTTATGATTAAGGGAAATACGCAGAGTATTAGGCGTCGCTGTTTTGCCATTGAACACTAC